AGCAAGAACCCTAACCCTAACCCTAAACCTAACCCTAACCATAACCCTAAACCTAACCCTAACCCTAATCCTAACCCTAACCCTAACCCTAACGCAAAAAAGGGGCTTGAACGACCGACGGCTGGCGTACCTCCAGCCACTGCGTAAATAATAACACACCATACATGTCCAACAATGTTATAACACGGAATACTAAGTACCGGTACTGTATGTAATGTACGAAATACACATGACATATGATTATCAACAAACATTGTAACTTTACAACTTGCAGCTTACTTAAAACTCACACTTGCATGTTGGCCAGGCTGGATATTAGTAGCTATATCCCACTGGCAGCTGACTGACATACAGTTTGCATTGACGGTGGCTGGGGATTACTAACTATAAGAGATAACGACGTTTATTGGCATTGCCATAGGCTCTCAGGTCTAGGCAAGATACATCATTGGACAGTACGGTATGTAATGCTATGCACATATATATACAGTTTTACAACTAGAATGCGTTGGGTGCACGAGACACATGGAGTTCAGCACATTGACATATAGACACATGACAATAGGCATGTGTTTGATGAATCTAGCCTGCCTACCTAGACTTGTTCTCTAGTAGGAGTTACACGATGTTTGGGCAGTAGAATTCTCTGTGACACATTCTAGTTTTTATTCCAAGTACCATTCATAGTTACCTTTTGTTACTACCTATATCTATATATGTTTCATCTTTCCAATAAGCCAAACATCGAATATGTGAACCATACTGTATATGGAAACTAAAAATTTGACGTGAGACCAGGGGCGTAGCTACGGGGGGGCCTTGTTCCCCCCCCCACAAATTTTCTGTGCCCCCACCAGGTGCCCCCCCACTAAAAATTCATGCTTGATGGAAAAAAAATTGAATTAAAAACAATGCCGTTAGAACAGTATAATACAAAGAAAAGTGATATATTGTGCCCCCCCCCCAAATATAAGGCCCCCCAGTGCCCCCCCCCCCCCCGCTGAAAAAATCCTAGCTACGCCACTGCGTGAGACGCAACAAGACAACAGCCATTTATGAAAGAAAGATTGCTTATTTAGTGACATGTCAGTTTGTGAGAAAGTGCTACTTGAAAAAAAAATTAAGTCAGTTTTCGTGGGGGCAGAGGAGTGAGGGTAAAAGTTACATACTGTCATATTTGACATTAGCAGTAGGGTAGCTAAGTGATTTTGTGCTATATACATACAAATTTTGTAAAAATCAAGTTGCCGAAACGTAGGTGATACAGTATTTATCTTAACGCAATTTGTCGCCACTGATTAGCTGATCAGTACTGAATTCGAACACTGATATTTTATGTGATTGAGCACGGGCAAATGGGCTAAGCTTTTGCGAGAGTAAAGGCTCGCTCAGGTCGGCCTACGATTTGACTATCGGCGACTACTTTAGCGCCGATTAGCAGCGTAGCAACACTCATGTCGACTTGAAGTGACTACGCTGCACATCGCCGATTACATCGTAGCGTTCCCGCATGAAACGTTTTTTTATGTGATATACGGAAAACTTAATATATATTTGAGAAAGGGTTTGTGCAATAATCCCTCCTTGTAAACTGCTGACGAGTGCTGTGTAGGCTGCCATTTTATTAATCACGTGACTTTTGATAATCATGTGACTCGACACGCTGCTGTGATTGGCTGCCACTCACGATTTGTCGCCGACAGCCGCATAGAAATAGAACCGTTTCTATTCCTGCGATCGCAGTCGGCGACCGTATTTTCGATCGTAAGAGAACTATGAATGTCGAGTTTGGTCGCCGATGATTTTATCGACGATCTGGCCGGTTTTTGACGTACGATATTCAAATCTTGTCGGCGACTAGGTCGTAAGGCCGACATAAGCGGGCCTTAATAGGCGCAAGAACAGAATACAGTGCTACTATGAACTCTCCAGCACTAGTTGTGGTTGTTTCCTTAGACTGTATATGTAGGTGATTATTCATGCTTGTGTAATTTATAGCTTGAAGGATGGCTGCTCACCTTTATTCTTGGCCAGCCAGCTTGGTGATTGCAAATCAGCAGACTACCTCCTAGATGTATGCCATGCAGACATTGAGCAGAGGGGAGAGTATGAGGTAACAATTGCACAATTTACAATTATAAGTTATAACTACATGTATGTCCAACTATATATATAGTAAGTTGCATAACTTTTAATAAAACATGTTGTATATTGTGTGCAGACATCCTTTTGGCATCAATATTTTTACCGCAGAAACGTACATCATATTAAAGGGATCCTTTACTCTAGGTTCTAGGGTTATTTTCAGTTAATTTCGGTTAAAATTACGCTACATATAAAGTTTCATGGTTCAATCACCATTAGAACTTTTTTAAAAAAATGTTTTATAACTAACGACTACAGTTTGATTACAACGACGGTGGCGCCGCTCAAAGCGCACGATCTGAAAAGTTGCGCAAAATGACTTTTCAGCCAAGGCCTATAGACCGAGGGTGTTTCTTATTTATTAATTTAAAAGCAAAAGGATTGTAATATCTTATAAACGACATATAGTTTCAGTTATATTATGGATACATTTTTCCTAAAATGAAAATCGTTCGGTTAAATAGCATTTAGGTATAAATATAATTGCACCTTTGTGATTAGCCCTCGGTCTGTAACGTGCAAAATAGATTGGGAAATGCGCACCTTTTTCAGGGTGGCAGCACGGTCGCGGGTGTCAATGACGCCGTTCAAATTTTGTAGCGTTGATGTATAATTAATTATAACAATTAAATTAGGTATTTGGTAACAAGTACGTGTGGGTATAGACGATTTGTTATACAGTAAGTACAGTTGTATGCCGTAAAATTCTAGAGTCTAGTATCCCTTTAACATAGCTTAAACCTATTCAACCTTCATTAAATTTAAAAAAAACTGAAGTTTTGTAGTCATAATTGAACATGGAGCTGTTTCTAAGCATGTACTAAGATGTATCTGATATGCTCCTAATTATTAAGCGTTTGATGCCGCAGTGTGTGGTTCTGTTGTCAGCATTTCATTTGATTATGTATCTATCAATACAGGCTGCAGAAGAAAGGTCTCATCATTTTGTGACACCTCTCTGGTGTGCTGCTGTAGCAGGCCATTTTGCCATTGTGCGAACACTTGTCCTTCATGGCGCTGACATAAATAGGTATGATTCTTAGTCAACAGAAATGTGTTATATTGTAAATAAAATATCACTATAATTGCAATTATTTGCGTAATTACGTTATTTTCATCTTGGTTTTAAAATTACGAGGGGGTCCAGGAGCTCGTAATCTTAAGAGAAAATTTGCTAGGATTTTTTTATTCTCGTAACTATGATGTTTCTGTCAACAGTCTACAAATCAAATTAATGCTAACCGTAATTTTGTTTCTGACAAGTGTCCCCTTGGTGTGTGTAACTGTGTAGCAGTATGCCCACAATATTAAGTTTTTTAATCTATAATAAAATGGATGGGATCAACCACAATTATGAGAAGTGCTTGTATGTGAAAACGAGTTCATTGCATGTGGAAATATCGGTTACGTCTGTTAATTTGTAGCACTTCAGATACTGGATCCACGCCAGTTCGGTCAGCATGTTTCATGACAAATATTGAAATTGTGAGATACCTGACTGATTTGGGTGCACAGTTATGGAAGCCCAACTACAATGGTGGTACATGTCTCATCAACTCTGTGCAGTCTGTCCCACTCTGTAAGATCCTTATAGGCCATGGAGTAAAGGTAGGAACATAACTATGCAATTTGACAGGTCATTTGTTAATATAATACCAAAACCTATAATACGTAGTAGGTAGTTCAGTGGTAAAAAAAAGGAGCGATTATAATTTAATTCTGCCCATATTTACGTCTGCCCATGTATATGATCAGTAGGGGTGTAACGATACATTTTGTTTCGGTGCGGTTTGGTTTTCAGTTTTTGCTCTTCGGTTCGGTTCATTCGGTTCAATTATTTTCAGTAGTAAAAAATTAAAAATGCTGAGAAGATGGGGAAATTTTTCCTTTCCTTTTGAATAATAATAATAATACCTATCAGGCTATCATAATATTATACATTTATTGTGTTATTCATTGGCCAAAAGACAATAAAGTAATACAGTTCAAGGATAATAGTCATAATACTATTCATTAACGTGATCTACCTGACCAAAATAGACTATTAGACTAGTAATCTCACGCATTGTCACCCCGCACACGCTGAGAATAGTGCGAGGGATGGGGCTTTTTGGCGTAAGTGCTGACTGCTGCGCTGTTTGCTCGCCGTGTGCACCCCCTAACTGAGAGTGGGTTGAATGTATTTACCGGAACCGAACCGAGAACCGAAACGGAAAAAAAACGAACCGAACGGGATGTACCGCGATACAGTTGAATCGCGGTTAATCGTTACACCCCTAATGATCAGTAACTATCTTGCAGGTGAACGCCCAAGATATCCAGGCAAAAACAGCTTTACATTACGCCATTCAGGAGTACCGGCTAGAAACTGTCAAGCTGCTAATCGAAAATGGGGCTAATGCTAACCTCAAGAATCGCTATGGGGATGATGCACTGCAGACTGCTTGTCTACGTGGAAGTGCGCAGATCTTTAACTATTTAATTGAACAAGTGGACTATGATAGGTATTGTCATCTGGATGTACTGAAGCCAAATGAAACCTATTCCTGTTGCTTAAAAATTAGAAGCTAAAATTGAGGGAGGGATTTACAAGAGTAGGCATGGTTAGTAAAACCTGTTGCATCAACATAAGTACAATACAATTTGTTTAAATCTGTTAATTGTATAACTGCAATTTAGAGTTGTTCTTTCACATCAGTCATGCAATTAACACGTGGTAATTAATACATTCCATTTATATTGCAGGGAGAGGTTAATAGAGGCATATGAGTTACTAGGTGCAACCCTACTGGAGGAAAATCACAATGTACAAGCAGCTTTGGAAGCCTGGCGAACAGCTATCAAAATGCGGCAAATCTAAAGTACTCCTCCAAAGTTCCCAGTTTTACATGTTTGAATTTTAGGTTGTGGACCACCCTGATAATAGTATAATGTAACTAGAAAGGGCAGTTGTCGCCAACTACATGTATCCCCAGTGTTCTCCCCAAGATGAAATTGAAACAGGGGGAGGGGGAGGGGGGAAACTAGGGGGGTCCGGGGCCTGGTCGAATGGGAATTCTTGCCGAGGTGGCCCCTCAATTGCCAGTAGCAGCAGCTATGGCAATTGCAGCAACTTCCAAAGCTGACTCACTCAGCCTGTTCCTCATGTAGTTTTTGACTATGCGCATGTGTGAACTGTTCAAAAGATGTTTTCTCTGCTGATTGGCTTAGCAGTGTGGGTGACCAGCCAATCAATGCCATGAAAATGTCATGAAATATATATATAGTCAAATAAATATGGTGTGTATTTTTTAGGTTTGATTCGGCACATGTAACATTACCCAAGGTAATTAATCTAGTGCCGAATCCTGTTTACATGAATGCTATGGAACACAGAACATGGGCAGAAATTCAAGCCATTTCTACTGATCCTGATGCATTACACATGCAGGTACAACAATAAAATGAAGCATATGCTTTGCCCCTTTAAATTAGGACTAAAATAAGTTTAGGCAATTGGGAATGCCCTCATCATGTACAAATAATGAAGCATTGTTCCTGTGTCTCTTCATTTCCATAATTGAAACAAATGACATTTTTGTCAATAGGAGAAGTATAGGGACTGAACCAGTTTCATTGAGCCTAAATTGACACAAATTATTAGTAAGATGATTAATAAAGCAATTGGTGCACTTAAATTGGTGCAGCAACAACGTAGTGACTTAACTGGTATTGGTTACGTCCACAACATACATAGTTGACCACTTGATGGTGTCAGTGGAAATATTTAATCGAAAACGTGTGTGGAAAATATGCAACCACTTGTTACTATGCGTGGTAAATTAGCTATCCCAAATAGGCACTACTGATCTGCGAGCGAATACTCAGCACACACCACAAAGACATGATCTTCAGGCTGATGTACCGTGGGGCCGTCTTTGCGGATATGCAAAGATATCAGCGTTGTGTAGACTTCTGGCAATATGCTCTGCAATTACGTGTGGCTCGTGATGGCATCCTGCACGTCGAGACTACGATCACAGCCCAGGCGATAACACGACTGTTCTTGGAAATGATAGGTATTGCATTGGTTTAAGGGGTGTGGGTTCTTCATAGTTGTAAGGGGGTCAGAAGCGATTGACCTAATGACCCATAATGCGAGTCACAATGAGAGGAGTATGACATGGGAATTTGTGAATATGTGGATTAGCACTTCATGATATCTTTATTAGGAGCATGATATCAAAATATAATAATAGCAGTGTGGTCCACGAGGGGTTTTAACATGTAAGGTCAACAGGTTTGAGTTTTGGCCGACAGGTTTAAAAATTGCCGACAGGTTTGGATTTGAGGGCGACAGGTTTGAAATATCAAAGCAAAAAACAACACAAACAAAGCAAAATGCAATTGTACTGCACTGTCGAACGGGACAACGTACGCGTAGTCACAGCGCACGCTTGTAGCATACACTATTACAGTCTATTACACTGTTTTACTCTGTGCATGGGCTCCCACTTGTCGGGCAGTCGAATCATACAGTGCGTTGACGTCGTCTGAGCTGCTTGCTCCGATTCATGCGCGCGTGCCTGTGTGTCCGTGCCTGCGTGCGTGCGTGCGTGTGCATGTGTACCTGCGGGCGTGCCTACGTAGACCCGTAGGATTATAGAACGGTAGTTCATAGAAAATCGTAATGAAATTCACACGTTTATTTTTGTGTGCTGGCACACTCGTGTGTCATTCCCGATTGTAGCCTTTTCCTCAATTCCAGGAAAGTTTTGCTGTCGCTCTCTCATAGCCCAGCGGTGCCCACCTCCTACATTTTAGTAGTGATTAGCACCACGCGACTGAAACAATCGTGCCCCCCACCCCCGTACTTCAATCAATGCCACCCCCAGCCAGCAGGTACGTACGCGTGCCTCGCGGGCCGCTTTTTTCGGCGACCTTTGAAAATATAATGTGAGAATGTGTTGTGATAGCGCCCTGGCTCAAAGGATGTTAGAAATATTACACAACTAGAAATTTTTTAGTTGTCCAATCGGACAACTAGCCAAACGAATAACTTGTCCGGCATAGACTTTCACTTGTCCTGAGCCTCATATCATATAGCGCTTCGCAATCTGCTATGAATAAAAAACAGCTCACAATAACCAGCCTATTTCACCAGATTCCTTCTAACTAGACTTCTAATAAGATTGAATCAGACCACACTAAATGCCCTTATGATGGTGTCTGTGGAAGGCCCATCAGCTCAGCTAGAACTTCCCTTTCCATGAAGCAGCAAATGCCTGGGCAGTAATTAGGAAAAGGAAACTGGGAATTTAAAGCCTTTATTACGATATATGATTTTCTACTCAGTAACTGCGCTCAATCCGAATAAAATATGGCGAAATATAGTTTCACCTTATAGTATATTTATTTGCATTTTTTGCACATTGCTTTATAACATTTGACTGGTTACATTCACACTAGTATACAAATTGAATAATGAAAAATGACTCAACCCAAATTATTTTGAAATATAGGTCATAAATTTTGTGCAAAAATGCTCCAAAATAAGGCTCAGATTGCACCAGAGAGCATCTAAAACCCGTGAGCTTCCAGGACTTCACACTTCTGGACCCCGGCCACAAGTCACTTCGCGCTTTAATTTCAACTAATAATATCTAAAGTACTCCTCCAAAGTTCCCAGTTTTACATGTTTGAATTTTAGGTTGTGGACCACCCTGATAATAGTATAATGTAACTAGAAAGGGCAGTTGTCGCCAACTACATGTATCCCCAGTGATCTAGTATGAATGAAATATCTCTGTAAGGACGTAGAAGGTAGGTAAAGTTAAATAAGTCACAAAGACAAAGGTTTGAGATGTGCAAGTATGTTAAAATTGGTTGCCTTAGGGGTTTTGGTACGCGACAGACACCTTCTCCCCAAGATGTGTAAGTATACGAAGTTTGCTCGCACTAGGTCAATTAGGGGCTGAGTTATCGAGCGGAAGGGAAATATGATGAAGGTCAAGGTCAAGGTCAGTCAAATAAAGGTTGCAGTGACCTGGTTTCGGTACGCGACACACCTCCCCAAGATGTGAAGTATACCAAGTTTGGTCGCGCTAGTCAATTAGGGGCCGAGTTATAGAGCGGAAGGGAAATATGATAAAGGTCAAATAAATGGTGTAGTGACCTGGTTTGGTACGCTGCCCACCTTCTCCCAAGATGTGTAAGTAGACCATGTTTGTCATGCTAGGTCAATTAGGCGGTCGAGTTATAGAGCGGAAGGGAAAGTGTCTGCGGCGGCGGCTGAACAGACATGAAACCATAGTATCCCCGCCGACTCGTCACGGAGGATACAATTACGAGATTATTAACGTTTACTTGTAACAGTTGTGAGTGACAAACAGTTTTCACTACTAAAACTGAGTACTGGAACAATTTAGAAAACGTTCAAAAGTAATAACATCTACAATCAGGAACAATATATTTTGTACATCAGTAATTCTTACTGGTAAATCCATACGCGACAATTGCAAATGGTCCATTGACCCATCTTCCATTGGTAATTGCTGGTTTTATCAAAACTATTCGAGGCCTGACCATGATATGTGTAATATCATGAAATTTACAGTACCATTGGTAGGGGCAACTGAAAAACGAGAGAACACATTTTTGGTCTTACTAGAGATTGCAAAGGCGTAGTCGAGATGTGTCACTTTGGATATGGACTGTTGTATTTCTTTGATATTAAAAGATTTCACATCTCTCATCTCGCCATAAAAGGGGACATAATAACAATAAACCAGATAATTAGACAAGTTTCCTTGTTTGTGTTTATTGTTTTCATGCCAGCTTTGACACTGATCAATGTTTTTAGCTCATTTGACGAAGTCAGATGCAGCTTGTAGAATCGCATGATTGTCCGTGCGTGCGTCCGCCCGTCAACAGTTGGGCACAAATCTTAACCGCTCGACGTACTGTCACGATATTCGGGACGTCGGTGGGGGGGGGGATCGTGAAAAGGACTCGGGATGACAAATTTGGGGGTCAAAGGTCAAGATGTGTAAACGGAGGGGGAATATTTCCCCCTTAACTTAAGGTATAGGAGGAAATACGGAATTGCAGCAAAAATCTTTACGGCTCGACCCATGCTCTTAATATTCGGTGTATAGTGTGATGGGTAGGAAACCCATCACTAGTGCGAAATTGGAGGTCACAGGTCAAAGGGCAGTGGGGGAAAGGTCAGATATCAGACATTTCTCGAGGACATGGCCTAATGGACAGAGTGGGAAAACATTTCTGTTTCAGCGCTGACCTACCATTTTTATCACTTTATTGAAAGGACCATGAAATGTGCTTTCCACTGATGCTGACGAGGTAAGTGTCGGATAACCTTTTGACCCTCAAGAGGAGGGTTAAACATGGATTCCTTAACTGCCCAATGATGTCAGTCATATTCATGTCAGTCAGGCACATCCATAATCCAGATGAGACGGGGATACTAGAGAAGCGTTGCCGAAAGGAGGTGTTATCCGAAGTGCTGCGCGATCTTGCGCGCAGTTCCGCGGCAAGGCGCACGCGACCCGCGAAAATTCCTACGACAGTATGCAGCGCTGGCAGCTATGGACGTGCGCCGAATGCATAGGCCGCGCACGGAATCATAGCTGCCAGCGAACAGTCCGCAATTTTAGTGGGGGACACAGAGGGCAGACATTTGGAACGTGAACAGTGTTCACTGTTATAAAAACTGTAACGAGTATGTGTTCGTAACCGAGCTGTGTCACGCAAAATCACAGAAAGACGTGGAAATTCTGACATTCGCGAACCTTGCCCAGTAATGGAAATGGCTGTCAGAATCAGGAAACACCTACCGGCGCTCTTCGTGACCTCATTGTTCGCGCCCCAACGCTGAACGTTTTTGCAACGTTCAATGGCGAGGCTCGTACAGGAGTTGCAAAGCAGTGCGCCGCCTGCCCGCCGCCTATAGCCCATAGACTGGCATCCGCTCCCACTCTCAGCTTAGCTTAGTCACTCGATGGCTAATCGAGGTGGGAGTGAGTCCTAGTCTATATAGCCTTTGCACTCGCAACCTTCTCGAAAGAGAGTAGGCCTATACTAGAAACATAAGAATTTGGTAGTAAATAGATTTCGTATTTAGTTAGCATTATATTTTATTGAAACGCTTCAAGTGCTGTGTCTAGTATAGGGGTATTCTAACCCTAGCAAAGAGCGTTTCTTGGAGCTAGTAGTAGTAGTAGTACTAGTACTAGTAGTAGTAGTACGTAGTACTAGAATTAGTAATACTATTACTATTAGCTCCTGCCGTCCTGGTAGTAACTATACTATAGGACTAGTAGTGCTGGTGAACTTAGTAGGACTACTACTAGTAGTAGTACTTAATTTACTAGTAATTATTGTAACATGTACTTGTAGTAATAGAAGTATTCGTAGGTGTGGAATGTACCAAAGTCTAAGTTATAGCCGGCCGAGACTAACACACTTCAGAACACGCGAACTGTAAACAAACATCAATGAACGGGCTTAGCCAATGAACGTGAAGGCGAACCAACATGGCTACGATAATTAAAAGCCGACGTCACGATTCCAGTTAGTGTAAACAACCATCAATCAGTCAGGCCTGCCGTGTCCTAAGATGGCTGCGAGAATTAGACTGGGACGTCACGATTCCAGATAGACTGGTACGGACGTTAATTCGGCCAAGTATCTTTCGCTACACTAAAGTTATAGTTAGTCGAGCGTGTCAAACTCTCCACCGCGGGGCAGTCTAAGCCGAATCGCCGTTGCTTGTGTGGAAAATTCTTCTGAAAAACCCTCGAACAGAGCCTCGTCGCGCCATCTATGGACGCCATGTACGAGAATAACTTAAGGGCGTTAAATTAAATAAATTCGAATCACTTTCTACACGAAAACGTAACGCGCCAACCAACAAGTTACCAATTACGAGCATTTGCATTTATTCTCGCCCTACGTGCATAGCCGAAAGCCTTCTGCAAGCGCCACAACTCCTCAATTGACCGATTACAGGCCGATTTGACATAACCGTGGAAATTGTTCTAAATACAGAGCCAGCGAATTGGATGAAAAGGCGCCACGACAGGTCGTCTGGCCGCTGTTCGCGCTTCGCGCGTATATCCGGGCTGCAGATCGTCTAGAAAGCCAATAAGCCTCGATAGCCGAACGCGTACAGCATGGGCGTCACGGCTCAAAGATCGTTGGATCGAATCCCATCAGATTTTTTATTATTGACCTGGTTTCTGTATTTTTCTATCTTTATCCATTTAACTATTTTTTTTCCAATTCACGCAAATATTTACATGATTTATTTACAATAATTTTTACGATTAATATATTTTTTTTAATAGGGTTAGGGTGAGGGTTACAATGCACCATAAAACAGAAGTTTCAGGCACGCGATTTGTATCAACAACCAATGGGATTTGGGAGGTATGCAGAATGCAGAAGGTTGCTGAAATGATGTGTACGCAACTGCGTATCTGCATATCTGCACCTAACAAAGGTGTCACTACGCACGACTTAAATGTTACGTTTATAACCGTAACAACAGACCTCAGATGAGCCCAGATGCTCTGCGGCTGTTGTTAATACCCATTACCACATTAGCTTTAAGAACTTTCATTTTGATGCAGGCATTCAGCGCTTGGGGGATGTGATGGAGACTGTGCAGTTTAGTGACATCTACAACATCCTCTTATTGATCAGCACTCAACTGGAGGAGGGTATGAGGCTGTTGAACGTCCGTCCTGTCTTTAAGAAGCAAATGGACAACTTCAACAAAACCTTGCTCATCATCATATACCTACTGTACACGTTCACACGGGTGCAGGTGCCGGCAGATGAAATGGTGCAGCTCAAGCGACTGCTCAACAAGATGATCCGACTAAATTTGCGGTCGGCTGGCGGCGACTCCCTGCTGCATGTTGCTCTGGATAAGAAATCGTCTGTGTTCGACGATCCCAACCTGAGCGTATTTCCTAACCGTGATGTAACGATGCTGCTGCTGGAGTGTGGAGCAGACGTGAATGCGCTAGATTATGCAAAGAACTGCCCACTTCATGTTCTCGCCAACCTGCAGAACTATGAAGAAGATCTGGTGACCCTGCTGATGGCACATGGCGCACACATTGATATTCGTAATGCTGATGGTGAAACGGTGTACAGGCGTCTCGTCACGAACCCAGAGTGCACCTTAAACTTGCTGAGTTACATGTCGCTGAAGTGCCTGGCAGCCCAGGCAGCGATGCATTATAAGCTACCGTACCGTGGCCAAGTCCCAGTTAGTCTAGAAGCATTCATTGAATGGCATTAGTGAAACTGATGACTAACATTTAACGTTAGTCTTACTACCAGTGTAGCAATGAATATTAGTCCAATTTGCTTTAATTTGATAACTGGACAAATTTTTGGTTTGTATGAATTTTTTAATTTTTTTTTAATTTGGACTGCATTTGATGCCAACGTGATTGCAGTTGGCTCTTGAGATTGTCATAACATCTACTCGCGCGCTACTTACATTCTGCCAACCACCACTTTTGATTGCTGACTCGACAGTGTTTTGTGACTAATCAAGTTAAGTCAGGTTGAAGTAAGGTGATGAAAGCCAGGTTAAATAGAGAAATGAGATGCTAGATATTTTATAGCTAGCCCGCCTGTAACGAATCATACTAGGGTGGTGGTTCTATGGTCAGTCGATGTAAAAGAACATTGAACATGCCTGTAAGGCTGTAACCATAGTCCTGTTCTTAGCTTCCAGCATAACAAACAATGGATATGTGATAAAATGACTGACTTTTAATTTTTCAGCTGAAAGTATGGGTGGGACGATTCATCGATATATCGAGATACAAACCCTAATGACCGACTAAAATCCATATAATTTAGTAATGTAGTTTGATTCAAAAAGAAAAGAAACATAACATCAGTTGTTTACTACGTGCTCTACAACACTGAATTGTTAACATTCACATGATTGGCATTGAGTCATGGCGGGTATGAATGTATTGGTATAATTTTGGAGTTCATTTAATTGAGAGTTGATCATTTATCTCTAAAAAAACTGTGATATGATGGTAAAATTGTGTTTTCGCGATCCTACAACTCAATATATGCATTATTTTTGCTTAAAGAGGAGGAGCAATATCTATTGGAAAACCGTAAGCAGTTTTCTGATTATGTTTACCTGCACTAGTCATATACTTGGTTAGTTAGGCCCTGATGGCAATATTTACTTTCAGCCAACTGATGTCGTAATACATACACTCTGTAAAGTAACCACATCACATAGAAGAAACCTCAAAACATCGCAATCCAATAAAAATGTATGCTATGTTTGACTATATTTTTCTTTTTCCTTTTTTTTTAAACGAAGAGCTAGCTTTTATATTTTAGTTTTACAACATCGGAAATACGTGCATATAAAGTCAGGGTACGGGACAATGCAGGATATATCGAACCGTACCCAGGGTACCCTCCAATAGTACCCTGGGGGACATAGCAATATCAGCAATATTTACAAACACACAGAAAGTTGGAATATCTGTAGTAGAGGTAAACATGCTAGGCAAGAAATGAGTTTATAATTTAATACTTATAGTTATTATTAAATACAAATTCTCAGCTATGGTAAAATAAACATTTTCTTTTGTTAATGCATCAGACTGAGTTCGGCTTCAATCATTTCATGCCTCATGGCACACGTACCCAGGGCCGTAGACTGAGCAAATTTCTAGGGAGGGGGGGCAAAATTTCATGACTCAACTGTGTAATGATGAGCGATGGGCACAGCTCTTGATCGACGTCCATAGTGTGGTAGGGGTGGGTCCGAGACAAGGCTTTCACGGATAAGTGACCAAAAAAATCATGTTAGGGTTATTTACGATTATTAGCTAAAAGCTTGCTTCCTAATTTTGTTCCAAAGGGCCAGCTGCCCCCCCCCAGGTTACGGCCCTGGTACCTATGTAACATAAAATAACCGTTGTATTAACGTGAGGTAGTAATACTGGTATTTTTGTGTTAACTGAAAGGTTTGAGGCCTGAGTAGTGTAAGGTTTGTAGTTGTGAGAAGCTGGGAAACGGCCCAGTTACCAAATCTGAATCAGTGGTTACGAGAAGTTAAAACATTTGTCTCAGGATAGGCCACGCAATCTTGTATCATGTCTCTCTGGATGTTTTAAATGTGTGTAAATATTCTAATGTGAAATCCATACTATTGTGTATCTAATGTAATTGTATTAATGTTTGTTGCCAATCACATATTTCCAATGCTACATACATTCATTACATTGTATTCAAAGAAGCAGGGACAAAATCACACATACTATGTCCAAAAACAATATTATTATATATAGCTAGACACCATAGGCTTAATTAGCCTTAGTATTGCTGTCAGGGTCTATGTCTCCCTGGGTACTGCCGGAACGTACCCTGGGTATGGTCCGGTATACCGGAACGTACCCTGGTACTATCTAATATGCCGGACCGTACCTCGCCTACTCCATTAACGAGTCTATGGAGTCGCCTACGCCTACTCCCTAACCCTAACCCTAACCATATCAGATAGTTACCAGGGTACGTTCCGGTATACCGTACCTTACACAGGGTACGTTCCGGCAGTACCCAGGGAGACATAGACCCAATCAGCCTTAGTATTTGTAGGGTCCATACCCAATGTTACATACTTTACATGGGAACCTTTCAAGTCGTAGCTATGGCAAACATCTGGAATGTGTGAATGTTATCATAATCATCGTATGAAAATAGCACAAACATCACAGAATTCTATATTAAATATGAAATGATATAACAATGAAAAGGAATGTGCTCAATCCTAGTACTACTACTAGTTTGGGACCCGGCCCTCATTCTTGCAAAGCCTAAGCTAAGCCGGGACGCTAAACTAGGATTGGGTCAAGAAATGTCATGTATTACCAATATATTACCTGATTAATATTGTTTTGAAACATAAACATAAAGAATGCCAGTTTTTCCATACGCGATGTACACACAGGCAGCATTCACTCCTAATTTACACTTCTACTACAAAGTGGTAGACTTGTTTCAAGACATGTGCACAGTTGTGCCAATTGTATTGAGTGTCCTATTTACTGTGTATATGATATCTATGGAGGGAACTGCAAATAATGATAGATTAATCATAAGAATACCTGTAGATAATTGCCAAACGGGACAGCTACTAACTATCCACTGAGCCTCAGTGGATAGGTAGTAGCTGTCCCCTTTGGCAATTATGACTGAGCTGTATATAATAACGTTATTATAATGTTATTGTTATGGCAGATTAGTTTAGCCTGGTGCTGTTTTTGCATGTTCCATATTTGGGTCCGTGCCTGCGCTTATCACTTCCCGCCAAACACCAGGGGGCGCAGGGAGACAAAGGATGTTGTGTGCAGCTATTCTCATCTTAGTACTCGCCACTATATTCATCAATTTATCGACAAATACATCGGATTCCGTGGAGCAATTGAGTTATAGTGTTTTCATAAACGCTCCAAGTTTCTTGAACTTATGTGGACGCAATTTACAGTTGATCGAAAACTTCACCAAGTCTTGTCTACTCCTCTCCAGCCCCATTATTATTCTTGTTTATAAACGATTACAATGGAGAGGAGTAGACAAGTCTTGGTGAAGTTTTCGATCAACTGTAAATTGCGTCCACATAAGTTCAAGAAACTTGACAACGCTGATAAGCTATCGTCATGGATGAGCTGCTAGAGGCTCGCCATCGTAGGGAAAACGTCGTGCTTGACAACGCTGATAAGCTATCGTCATGGATGAGCTGCTAGAGGCTCGCCATCGTAGGGAAAACGTCATGCTGGACACTGAATGGGTAGCCAGAGAACGGTACTGGTGTTTTAAGCTAGAAGTAGGGGGACATAAGGCTGCCTACACCAGGAAGGCAAACGAGATAATTGATTTAATGGAATGTGGGGCAGACCCCACTTTAGTGAACGGCAGATTAAACGACATCCACGTGCTATTCGACAGGATAATTGAAAAGTCCAGGGTGCTGTGCAAGGACGCTGTTGACGGCGAAGACCGCCAATGGGCTGACGAACACATAAGAAAATTCGAAAAAAAATGTGTCACTCTAACAACCCAAGTGAGACAGTGGGTGACAATGGTAAAGGACAATTCGACGTATATGACTGTAGACATTACAGGCTCAAATCTATCCGAAAGTGGCAACTCGCAGGCTAGTAAAATTGTCAATACCAAACGCGAAAGGGCCGTTACGAGAAAGGCTGAATTTCTTGCGAAGGCAGAAATCATAAAGGAAAAGAAGGCGCTTGAGCTAGAACGTGAGGCTCTACGCCTGGAATGCCTCAATTTAAATGAGATAAAGGACACTCTAGCCTATGGCAGTGCTAAACCGGCTGAACCCGTACGTTGAACGCCTCGCCCATCTGATACTAATCCGCTGTCTGGCCGTGCGTCAGGAAGTCCATCATGGACGCCTGAAAACCTGTACGCAGGTGTCCAATTCCAAACAGCTACCGGTACCTTTCCTCACAGTACGCCATGGTATCAACTGCCACAGCGATCCCACGCATGTAAACGATCAGGATTTTTGGCATCCATCAAACTCTCAAGCTCCAATGCAGCGCCAGGCAACCATCAACGAGTTACTGGTGGACATGACGACTCTCCCAAGAACTGAATTGTTTAAGTTTGGTGGAGATCCGCTGACCTTTCATCGGTTTATGAGCTCATTTGACAATTCCGTAGGCAACACGTGTGTTGACGCCAATGCTAAGCTGAATAGGATTTTTCAGTATTGCACTGGATCGGCACTGCGTGTCATAGAGTGTTGTGCCGTGATGGAACCCAATGCAGGTTATGCAAGAGCGCAGCAGCTACTGAAAGAACTATTTGGGAGCAGCTACCAAATCGGTGAAGCATGGATTAAAGGAGGATCACGCAGGGTCCCAAGGCTGCTGATCGTCGCAGACTCCAGGACTTCTCTGATGATTTAAGCAATTGTGTGGAAACTCTTCCATGGGCAGCATCGGTGAAATTAACACGCAAAGAGGGCTTGTGAAAATTGTGTTGGCGCGGGCAGGCAGTAAATGCCTACAAGGCTACTGGTCATTATCCAGACATTGTCAGCTTGGTGGATTTTGTAGTCAGGGCTGCCAGGGAAGCTAATGACCATGTATTTGGGAGGAAGAAAGTCGAGGTAAAACAAGCCATTGTAGGACAGCAGGAGGTATAGCACCAGGGACAATCAGTCTAACAGGTTTACCAATGTGACCTGTCCTATGTGTCATGCCGGGCACACACTGTTCGGATGCAGTCAGTTTAAGGCAAAAAAACCCGATGAACGTTTGAAATTCAGCAGGGACAATAAACTGTGCGATAACTGCCTTAAACCTGGGCACTTTGCCTCAAGGTGCCTATTTCAACGTCGGTGTACGGTTGAAGGATGCGGTAAACGACACACAAAGTTCCTGCACATTGGAACCGGCAACCCCAGAGCGAACTCGTCTGATGTGCAGAACGTTCAGAGGACGGACGGTCAGGGAGTCTACAATAACAATTTTGCGGCTCGGTCTGGTGCTGTCCAAGCTCACAATGCTTCATGTGCGGTCAAGGGGGCCGGTCACATGACCGCTGTTCTTCCTGTCGTTCCTGTGAAGGTGAGGGCGGCCAATGGCTCGGGACACGTCACGGTCTACGCTCTCCTCGACAGCGGCTCTACTAACACTTTCTGCACGCTAGATCTGTTGAAGGAATTAAAAGTCGATGGGGAGCCATCCCTACTTTCGTTAACGACAATGAAAGATGTTGGTAAGGAAGTTATGACGACAACGGCCAGCCTGGAGGTAGCAGACATGGGTGAGAGCTGCATCATGAAAATACCCTGTGTCTTTGCTATGACTTACCTTCCAATCCTGCAGGACAGTGCCAATGTTAGGGGTAAGGTCAGCCAATGGCCTCACTTAAAGGACTTAGATTTTCCTTGTGCCGATGCCAAAATCTCATTGCTGATTGATCAGGATGCTCCGCAAGCATTGCTGCCAAGAGAAGTGAGGACCGGAAAAGACAACGAGCCATATACCGTGAGGACCATTCTCGGGTGGGCATTAAATGGTCCGGTCAACAACGACAGACGGGGGGTCACCAAGGCATTCTGTAACTTCCTGTCAGCAGACACTAGATTGGAACAACAGTTGGAACATTTCTGGAAGGTCGAGGATAGTGGAGCAGACGATACCGTTGCCTTGTCCATTGAAGACAAACGTGTCTTGGACATTTGGGACAATTAAGTCACTGACAAAGGTCGATGGACACTATCAGCTCGCAGTGCCTTTTAAGTCGTAACGATATAGATATCGTAACGGGATGGAGGACTTGTTAGTCAAAGGATTTGCTGAAAAGGTACAGGATGAGGGCATCGACACTAGCTCGGGAAAAACCTGGTACATTCCGCACCATGCCGTCATCAATCCCAATAAGGAGAAACTACAGATAGTTTTCGATTGCACGGCTCAGTTGAATGGAAAGTACCACCAGGTAAAAGTAAGGCCACAGGATAGGGATGCGTTGCGTTTCCTGTGGTGGCCTATAATGGTGACATGACGCAGCAACCCTGCACCTATAGAATGACTGTCCATTTATTCGGCAGTGTGTGGAGTCCTAGCTGTGCCATATATGCGCTCAAACGCACAGCCGACAACAATGCAAACGACTTTGACCAGGAGACCATCAACACGGTTCATCAAAACTTTTACGTGGATGACTGCTTAAAATCTGTCCATGATAGTGAGAGAGCTATAAATCTCGTCAACCAGCTGTCTGCTCTCCTGTTCAGAGGTGGCTTCAGGTTGACCAAATGGATGTGCAACAACCGGATCATCATCGAATCGATACCCCAGGAAGAGCGAGCCAAGTCAGTGAAGGATCTAAACCTTGACGAACAAGTTCTGCCCACAGAACGTGCCCTGGGGGTTACTTGGAACGCTGAATCTGACAAACTAGGGTACAGGATAAAGATGAAGGAATAGCCTCTGACTCGGCGTGGCATACTGAGTGTGGTCAGCTCGATTTTCGACCCTCTGGGTTTGGCTAGTCCAGTGGTCCTACCTGCTAAGAAACTTGTTCAAGGCCTGTGTCGCCGCCAAGCAGGCTGGGATGAACCGATCACAGAAAACGAACAACGGAGATGGGAGGCCTGGGTCAAAGGCATCAATAATTTGGAGCAGTTCAATGTCGACAGGTGCATCAAACCCAAAGGTTTCGGGCAAGTCATCAGTTGCCAGTTGCATCACTTCTGTGATGCGTCAGAGAGTGGTTATGGAGCTTTCTCGTACGTACGCCAGGTGACCCACGAGGGGAAGGTACATTGCTGTATTCTCATAGCAAAGGCCAGACTGTCACCCAAATTAATGATGACGATACCTAGACTCGAGCTACGGGCAGCTGTGGAGGCTGTAAAATTGAACAAAATCTTACAGCGGGAACTTGAGATCAAAATCGATACAACGTTTTGGACCAATAATATATTGGTACTTCAGTACATATGCAATGACATAGACGTTTCAAAACATTTGTGGCTAATCGTGTGGCTCTGATACGCGAGAGCACAGACACCTCACAGTGGGGGCACATTGACACTGAGCAAAACCCGGCTGACGAGGCGTCTCTTTCTCGTGTACTCGTCATGGGAACAGTTACGTCGAGCCGCGGCAACAAGAGTACATTTAGACTTGAGGCCGTAGCTGGCGAGGGGGTGTTACGAAAACCAAGACCTCGAAAACGAAGACTGAAGACCAAAAACAAAGACCCAAAAACGAAGGCCCCCTCAACCAGGCCATTGGTACCACAACATCGAGGAAGAGTCTGCTAGTGCCCTGCCATATAAAATATGGTATTTTAGCAGTTTGATGAGGGTCTTCGTTTTCGTAATTTGGGGGTGAAATCACGAAAAACGAAGACCCGGCTAGATTTCATCGATAACGCAACGGATTCGCTCAAAAATACAGTACGAAGAACCTTATACCAAAATACCATATTTTATACGTCAGGGCACTAGCAGACTCTTCCGCAATGTTGTAGTACCAATGGCCTGGTTGAGGGGGTCTTCGTTTTCGAGGTCTTTGGTCTTTGTTTTCGAGGTCTTCGTTTTCGTAACACCCCCTGGCGATGGGATGCAAGGGAGCAGCTGCCCCCACACCAACTGCTTACGGTTAGTAGAAGCTAGCATACTTCTACCAATAGTCTCAGGGTCTAACCACTGTCTGTGCTAGGTACCACCTCAGGGCACTGTGCTACGCTTTCTCTGCTCTGCACAGGTGATCCCATGTAATTGAACATCTTCGGCTGCAAATAAAGAGTAATAATTATTGGTGTTGAATGCAGGGAAACATAATTATGGTATCATCAGGAGTAGATAATAGAAGATCTTCTATTCAGGGATGAGATTGGATAATTTAATTTTCAGCTGAAATTTTAATTAGCAAACAGAGGAGCGAGCAATGCGAGGACCGTAGGTCATCGCCATGCTAGGGGGGTCCGGGGGCATGCTCCCCCGAATTTTTTTTAAAAGAATGGTGCAATTTAGTGCATTCTAAGCTATTCTGAACAAATTATAGGAGACTCTTGAATCACCTTTTCAAGTTGTCAAAAGGTACAAACGAACTATAATAGGAAATCAGGGGGCTGAAAATAGGGCAAGTTTTTTTATTAAATGTCTAGACATAATGATATTTTTCTGTTTCCACCTGTCGCTTGCATTGTTTTACTCAGACATAAGCTGCCTTGCTGCGACCAGATTTGAATGAAAAAAACACAATGCGAATGGAACAATCAGTGCATAGTCATGATACACAACATGCACGCAGCAAATGTAACCCGGCCCCAGGCCAGGCATGCGTCGTTACGAGATCAGCTACCTCAAATGTCTGCCCCTCTACTGAGCCTGTGAACGAGGATTTTCTTTTCTGGGTACGCAAAAACAGATACACTGTATACTTCGCTGTCAGCCTACTGTCTACACTCTACAGTCTACAGTCAGGTGCTGTTGAGGATATATAATTTAAATTGTTACATTGTTACCCCCCTCCCAATTTTCTCAACGAATTTAGACGTTTCACAAAATCGACCCCTGGGACTGTCAAATCCGCGGATTTCCGCGGATCCGCGGAAGAATCTCATCCCTGTCTATTATCTACTCCTGGTATCATCAATGCAACGTTCTGTTCTGCACCAACATTTCACTTTGTGGAATCACACGTTTTGTTCACACTTGCAAAGAATCGTGTCAAGAAGTTTTGTTTTCCTCAAACCATTCTTTAAACATGATCAAAATTTGAATCCCGAAAAGCATGGTGTAGGCCTAATATGGAAGTTAGGCTACGAAACACTGCTGTACTGCATGTTCAGTCATAAATGCAATCATATGTTTCTTCGCAAGGTTTTTACTATTTTACACGTTTAGACAAACCATTTGTAGATTTCAACGATGATACTGTGACCACAGCTCATTTTAATTGGGAGTAAAAAGTTTCATAAATACCCAGTCAGCTACCTATGTTGAATAGCGTGTTGGCTACCAAACTGGCATCCGTTTGGTAGCCAAAAGCAATGATATGACTGTGACCTAGTTTACCAAGCAAGCACTTTTGATTTGAATAGGGCGTATAAGCAGAGCATGCGCATTTAAAATGCAGTCTTACCTGTGTAGTATTTACAGCTTGACACATGAGATGCCACTTGCTAGTAACCCTTACAATGAGGTCTTTTACACGTGTGGGATCAAGATATGTGACCCTTTCTCTGATATCTGCGCCAATACCCAACCTCAGCAACCAAATACACTGCTGAAGGCTGGCCTGCAACATGGAATTTTATTGATCACCTTTAAAACTGGATAAAAGCTATGTAATCAAAAGCCACAGAGTCATTTGACAATATCTTTTTATATCTGCATAATTATTTCACACCATACACGTGTTTGTGGTCATCTAGTGCAAGATAGCTTACATTTAACAATGTATATAATAAAATATAATATGATGTAATGTATTGTAATGCAATGGTACATAACAGAATACATGTCCGTGTATATGTAGCAGCCAGCACAACCACACTGCTGCATTAGCCACAGGAACAAGAATATTTTACTGTTAAAACGAGCCACCTGCCACCAGTATATATCGCGAATGACAGAGTAACGTGTGTATTAAGCATCAGAATGTGGATATTTCACTGCCGAAATGCGCTCGCCTGATGCTGGCATGTATTATGAATGATAGTGTTTGGCATTTATTAACCACCAGAACACGGTTATAATTATTTCTGGAACGCGCCGCCTACTGCCGGCATGTATTGCGAATGACAGAGTTTTTTGGACCTTAGGATTGGTTATTAAAGAACCAGTTATAATTATAGGTTAGTGAATCGACACACATATAACATGGACACCGCGGTGAACATAATATAAATTGCTATTACCTTATCAGCTGTCGAGATTTTTTCACTGCCAATACAGCGATCCATCATTTGCACAGCAATGTACAACTTGTAGTATCCTGAGCTTGTCAAAGCTAGCTTAGAAGTCTGAGTCAAGAGATCCATCAGATCTTTTGGCTAAACCAAAGAATTTATGTTGTTTGGCAGACAGTGTCATAAATTACCTGCGAATAAGACCTGTGAGGGTGGGTGGGCAAAGGGCAGCTGGCCCAACTAGTTTTAGGATCAACATTACTATAATAAATAGAAATTTGTATGATTGTATATTTTTTGTGTGATTTACATTTATTATTGTAATCCCTCATTCTTCTGTCCTGTATGTATATAGAAGGAATTTTCAAGAAATAATTCTATCCTATATGTGGTATAGTTCTTGAAACTTAAAAAAAATTCCTTCTATATACATACAGGACAGAAGAATGAGGGATTTGGAGCTAACCTGCATTACCGAATTGAATATTGTAAGAGAATTTGCATGTTTCACACAGGTGTTATGCAGGATGATTTGGAGGGGCAAATTTGTTACATACATTATTTTATATACTGGGAATTATTTTAATTACTTTAGTTATTTTAAAATTAATTAACTATCATGCATAGTTATATGTAAGAATACAACAGAATCCTGGAAATGTAATGACATACTTGGCATTAGAACTGATAAACCTAGCCTTAATTTAAACAACCCACTCCACTGATGTGCTCTACACATACGAATACTAAAACTGCAGCTCACATATATTACATATACCATCACATCCGGTAAATATTCTGGCAATTCATTATACATCAGTTGCAGGAACGTGAAACTGATACTTTTCTGGAGCTGAGTCCCTCTTGCAGTGGCAGCACACATATCTGCTATATGCAATTGGTTGGCATGGTTACTGCTAAGTTTCGACAAGTGACAGCACAACTCACAAACCTGCGAATCAAGCAAAGTACAATCAAAATTGGGCCAACATGAGAAATAAACTCATAATTCTAAACGTGCGAATGATTTTACGACTGAGGCCATATAACATAATTACAGGGTCCATTTACAATGGGGTCACATTTACATGCTCCAACTAAACTACATGAATTAAAGTAATGGGGTTAAATTACCGTTAGAGGCCATTTGGCAGGCTGGAATGTGTTCAATACAACTCCAATACACGTCTGTATGTCGACTAGGATTGCATCTCCAATGAGGTTGGAATCCATTCCAGCATGAAACAACAGTATGACCAGTGCTGCTTTTTCGACGCAGTTATATGCAGAGGCATATTCACTCCTAGTAAACACGGATGTCAACACCTAGAAAAATATTACATTAGGACATTATTCATATTACATAGTTCACATATTTGCTGTTAATAAATATGCGGTTTTACCGAGTTTACTATGTATCCAGAGTATACTAGAAGTGTGATGATTCAGTAATGCAACAGTGAATTAGGTAACAGAGTACTAGCATATACAATTCTATGATACACGTGTTAAGTAGTCAAAAAGACATGTACAATACATTTTTTTGTTACGACAACATGAACACAATCACATGAGAATATTCCCACCTCGATAAACTGTAATGTAAACGTGAGAACAAATTGATGCCAGAGTTAAACTAGTTACCTCTTGAAACTGAATTATTGAAAATATTTTCTCTTCCCACATCCCCCCTTCTCCCTGCCCGACCCTACCACCTCTCTTTCTCTCTCATACATTTCTAATACGTCTATTTCTTCTCTATGTACTCTCAGTCGAAGCGGAGTTCGACAGATATACTGAGCTACAGGTCCAACAAAGGGATGTTTTCAGCATTATTTAATGACAGTTCAACTTGCCCACACTTTCTTCACTTCACTTCAATATATCTTTGAACTCATTCTCTAGCTTTCATTCATCTCAAGCATTGGCAAGCTGCGAGACTGAGGCATAAAGTTGACCTCTCCAATTATTTTCATTAAATTATTATTAATATAAAAATTTTGATACAAAATCCCCATAGAATAGTACCTGTAACCATGATGGCAAACTGGGTAATGGTGAAAAGGTATATTCAATATAGAAACTACAGAATGCAGAACGACATATCTGATACCATTTTACTTGCTTAAAAAAAGTATTTAATACCTGAAATATATACTTTAGATTGCAAAGGAATGGCAAATTTTCTGTTTTTTCCATTTGAAGGTGATGTTCTACTCCTTCTGGCTGAAGTCCCTCATACAGATCAGCTTCCTTGATGTCGCATAGTAAGAGAGAAGGCCGAATTGCACTGATATTCATTCCATAGTTGATAAACACCCTGTTTAATGTACATTGAAAAAATATGAATATCAAATAAGATGGAGATATCAAAGTGTCAGTAAGATGAATTTGCATTGAATAATAATAATAATAATAAAATAATAAATAATAGGTATTTATTAGCTCTTGATAATAGCAGTAGTAGTAACTGTTATGTATCAACTAGAAAGGGCAGTTGTCGCCAAATACATGTATCCCTCGTGATCTAGTATGAATGAAATATCTATGTAAGGACGTAGAAGGTAGGTAAAGTTAAATAAGTCACAAAGACAAAGGTTTGTTACACAACTCATCTGCCTGAGATGTGCAAGTATGTTAAAATTGGTTGCCTTAGGGGTTTTGGTACGCGACACACCTTCTCCCCAAGATGTGTAAGTATACGAAGTTTGCTCGCGCTAGGTCAATTAGGGGCCAAGTTATAGAGCGGAAGGGAAATATGATAAAGGTCAAGGTCAATGTCAATGTCAAATAAAGGTTGCAGTGACCTGGTTTTGGTACGCGACACACCTTCTCCCCAAGATGTGTAAGTATACCAAGTTTGGTCGCGCTAGGTCAATTAGGGGCCGAGTTATAGAGCGGAAAAGAAATATGATCAAGGTCAAGGTCAAGGTCAAATAAAAGCCGCAGTGACCTGGTTTTGGTACGCGACACACCTTCTCCCCAAGATGTGTAAGTATAGCAAGTTTGGTAGCGCTAGGTCAATTAAGGGGCCGAGTTATAGAGTGGAAGAGAAATATGATCAAGGTCAAAGTAAAGGTCAAATAAAGGTCGCAGTGACCCGGTTTTGGTACTCTGCGCACCTTCTCCCCAAGACGTGTAAGTATACGAAGTTTGGTCACGCTAGGTCAATTAGGGGTAGAGTTATAGAGTGGAGGGGAAAGTGTCTGCGGCGGCGGCGGCTGGACAGACATGAAACCATAGTATCCCCGCCGACTTCGTCGCGGGAAATACAATGAGTGGCTTAAGCAGCATTAAAATAGTTTTTATTGGTGCTATTAGTTACCTAGTATATTGTCTAATATGAGGATTTTGTCTAACATGACAGCCAACACCTCTAATCATTGCACGACTGGTTGTACCCTGGTCTACGCAATTGTCTGTACACAACTCGCAATGCATGATACACACAGCATGGAACATATATAGGTTCCGCTCTAAAATTATTTTGCAAGCTTATTCTATTCAGAATTCACCGAATAGTCTACAATTTCTAGTTTGCATCACGATTGTTTTACGACGCTTGTAGAAAATGAATGCTTAAGGAATGTTCTATGAAGACATATATTATTTAAGTGATGCCACCAATCATCTGTGGCCCTATAAACACAGGCACTGTATTAATATCTAATAATGAACAAAAGCATGTTGTAGAGTTTGAATGGGAACAGCGGAGAGAGCACGTGTCAGGATAGATTATCGTGGTCTTCAAATGACAGACTCTAAAAAGAGAATTTGATGCCTGGGAATTTATTAATTTTTACACACTAAAGGGCCTGCATGTTGGGGCAGTGTCACAGTGCATCTTCCATGTTCACACAGAGATATGCTTCTCTCTCTCTCTCTCTCTCAGTCTTTGAAGTAACTTTGAGTACATAGAAAGATGTAACACAAATAAATTAATCATGATTGCTATCTACATTACGAAGCTACAGAATAGAAACCTGGCAATATCTTTAAGGAAAAGATGGAAGAGTGGCTTGCTCTCTTGAGTAGTGGAGTCTGACAAGTTCAGGATGTGCCATAAGCTGTTGAATGCAGCCAACACTACCGTAGGATTCTCATGCAATGCCACTGAAAGTAAATAAGTTATGTTAATAATTCATATAAAAATGGTTTTTTAACTACTGAGATGTCAGCAGCATTACTTGCTTTTATCATACTCAATCAACCAACTCTGAAACAGTCCATGATACAAAGTTGGGATAGTGCTTTCTATGTAACAAAATTCAGACTGCATATATCATATATGGAAGCGACGTCTACTATTTACTAAAATAGACTACATTAATATAATTATTAATTTACTTTCAATAGAATCGATTTAAATATACAATAATTAACTTACATATCTGGTCTGGTCTGCAAATGTTAAGTTCTTAAATCGATAATGATAGAGAACTTTACTCCTTTAATTATAACATTCAACTACATTCCAGGATGTGATTATAAATACGTGTATTGTTTGTGTTTTCGGAATGTGACCTGACAAAATTTTACTGATTTGCTGTGATCTGCCACCTTTTTATGTTATTTTTTAGTATGTATGATATGTATGATAAAAGCAAAATCAGGCTGACATTCCTCCTCCCAGGGTTATTTTTATCATGGCCTGGTCAAGACACCTTGTCAAGTTGATTAAGACCGATCTTTCGAGTTACATTCCAGATCAGCCAAACATACGTAGGGTTCTACTATTCTATTAACTAGTGCCGCAACAGCGACAGTGCTCATCTGCTGCTCTACTGTACTGGCTTTCGTTTCTGCAAAAGGTTGAAAGCCTGTTCTATCGCTAAACCGGCTACGTCATCATCAAAACTGTGTAGCATAGGTATTAACACTAAAACTAAACCCTAACAATGCATCCTACTTCATAGCTGCTCGACTGTCTTATATATTCGTGTCATAGTGTATCACTAGGCCTATAGTTGCCGCGAGATGGCACGTGCAAGTGTAATCAATAATCAAACATGGCATCGACCTTCGTGCACTGGTGATAATTCAAGAAAGTAGAGATAACCTAATTCCATTGAGTTGCTGAAATGTACAGGCTAAAATCCAAGTATATTCAGGCAGGCGACAATTTGGCTCAGCTGTGAGTAATAAATTAAACACATCTGCATTGCAGGTGTGCATGTTTATTAGAAAAGTGCCAGTTCACCCCATGCATCAGTAATGGATTGCCCCTGGGTTTTTGCCTACATTTCGGATGCCGGTAGCCACGCTAGCATTCAGGGTGCTATTAATATACAGACTGCTTTAGAAAATAATATGATTTAAGGAGTGTAAACCTTGTTCAACAAACTTTTGTCTTTGCAATTGAACTGCAAATGTAGCCTCACATCCACACAGGTATGGGCTCTAATAATAGCAAAAGCAGTTCAGTCCTTTGTTAACAGTCACCAAATCCATGTTTAACCCTCCTTTTCAGAGTCAAAAGGTTATCAGACACTTACTCTTCGCATGTCAGCGGAAAGTACATTTCATGGTCCTTTCAATAAAGCCATAAAAATGGTAGGTCACCACTGAAACAAAAAAGTTTTTCAATCGCTCCGTCAGACCATGTCCTCTGAAAATGTCTAAAATCTGCCCTGTGCCCCATTGACCTTTGACCTGTGACCTCCAATTTCGGCACAGTGATGGTTTTTCCTACCATGATACTATACACCGACTATCACGAGCATAGGTCGAGCCGTTTAGATTTGTGCTGCAATTCTGCATTTCCTCCCTATACCTTAAGTTAAGGAGTGAATGTTCCCCCTTCTTTTACACCTCTTGACCTTTGACCTTTGACCCCAGCTTCGACATCCCAACTCGTTTTGACGATCCCCCCCAACGACCCGAATATCGTGACCGTACGTCGAGCGGTTAAGATTTGTGCCCAACTGTTGACGGACGGACGGACGGACGGACGACGGACGGACGGACGGACGACCGGACGGACGGACGATCATGCGATTCTACAAGCTGCATCTGACTATGTCAGATGAGCTAAAAATAGAGAGCGTGAGCAACAACAGTACATGACGTATTCAGCCACACGAAAGGAGGATGAGACGAGTATGAAGGGGAAAGAGGATAAGGAGGAAAGAAGAAGGAGAAGAAAAAGAAGGAGGGGGACGGAAGATGAGGAGGAGGAAGAGGAGGAGGAGAAGGATAAGAAGAAGGGGGGGAGGAGGAGGGGAGGGGAGGGGGAAAGATGTTGTTTTTTGTTCACATGATCAGACGCGCAGCACCTAGTAAAACCGATTACCGTTAGATT